AGATCTACTTGTATTTAATTAGGGATTCTTATTCATTGTTAAAATTAGATCCTAATTGTAAATTACTATTTTGGGATTTTTAAGATTTTCACTGGCCCTGTTTGGTAGAGCTGTGGGAAAGTAATTATAACTTATACCCTAACAACTTATAACTTATAGCTGTGAACATAAACTGATTTTTGACTTATAAATTAAGCTTCTCTTCCCCCGCTCAAAGAATAAGTTAATTTTTGACTTACAAAAAGTTATAAGTTGTGTTGTTAAGCTGAACCAAACATATCAAAATAGTTTAAATTAAGCTAAAAGCTGAAATAAGATGGAAATAAGTCCTACCAAACAGGACCACTTTTGTTTAGTAATTTTAACTTTTCAAAATTAAATACAAAATTAAATGACTTCATATTTTTAATATTGCTCAAATCTGCTCTCAAAATGGTTTCATATATGGAAAGAAGTTTTGATGCTTTGATTCTCACAATGTTTGCACCAATTATAAAAAAATAAAAAAATAAAAAATTGAAATAGCAATGAATTTTTTATTTTTTATTTTTTAAAAGAACAATTAATGCTCCTAAAAGAATAATGGGATTGGAAGAGGCCTTTGAACTAGTCTCTTAATTTTAATTGAATGAATAACTCTCTTATTTCTAAATAAATTGGGATCTCAATCAGTTGATGCCTAAAGGAATGGCTTTAATGGTCTCTTACTTGGGCCGTCTCTAGTTGCATCGTCGAATTGGGTTCAGTATGTGTCGATACTTGTATGGATTGGTTCACTTATGGAAAATTATATAATATTAATTATTTATTTGTTTTTTGGGAATAAATAATTTTGCTGCGATTAGTTTTGTGTTGTTTAATGCACTTTTTCATCATGAATAGTCACGTCTTATTTTTTTGACTATGCACGTATTAGTTTTTATAGTTGGTAACTTGTAATAGTGTAATTGTTGACTTTTTAATTACAACGGTGCTAGGGATTTCTAAGTGGGGCACCCCAGCACCCCAGTTTTTTTTCATTGGTCGGTTTAAATTTTTTTTTTTTTTCTTCTTTCCTTCCAATCACCCACAGTCACGTGGGGTTGGGGTCATTGGGGTCTGTGGGGGTTGTAATTTATACAACTACACAATTGAGAAAACTCAGTTTGATCAAACTTTATAGACTCACACATATATTCAAATATAAATCCATTGGTAGAAAAGAAATGATTATTAGATAGATAAATCCAATATAAATCCATTGGTATAAATCCATTCTTTTCTTATCAATGGGTGATCAAGGAAGCTTTTTCATTGGGTCCATTTGAGGAGGGTGATTTATAGAAAATTAAAGCAAAAAACATGAGGGGGGTGAGGTAAGGATCATTGAAAGAAAATTAAAAAATCATATACATCTATAAACAGTGGAGGACAATTTTTTGCAGAGGGGGGTGAGGTAAAACTAAGGCAAGGGGTCGATTCTGACTGATTCGGTTTAATTTAGTCAAGATATATTCAAACAAAAATACTTTTCACAGCATTGACTCAAAAAACTAAAAACAAAACTCATCATTTCAGTCAATCTAAGGTGATTATAGATTTTATAGCAAAATAAACATTGAAAGTAAGGTAAGGTGATTATAGATTTTATAGCAAAATAAACATTGAAAGTAAGGTACGGGATTTTATTGAAAAAAAGAAAAAAAACAGATGGGCTACCAAAAAAAAAATAGGGGCATGTACATCATATTTAGGAGGGGCATATTGAAAAAAATACATGTGAGACACTCATATATAACTCAACAAATCAAGAATATAATACAAAGAAAATTACACATGCAAACTATATTCACAATGGTAGCCAAATCATGTTTTCTATGATTAGTGAAATATGCAACTCACTGCATGTCTGCCAGGAGGTGGGGATGAAGAGGTAAAAACTGCTTCAATATAAACCAAACGATTAAATACCTATTTGCCCCAATCTATCACAGAAGCTGAAATTGAATGACAAAAATAGGAGTTAAAAATATGTTCCACTGATTAAATACCTATTTACCCCAATCTACCACAGAAGCTGTGGGAGTTACACTTACGGATTCAAGAAATTCATTCACGATAGAGAGAGAGTTCGAGGTTTTAGTTATGTATTCAAACAATTAGTAGCAACTAACTTGCGCATTATTCAGGGGAGCAATAATTCAGAAATCATAAAATCAAGATTCCTTACTTTGATGAAGAATCAAGAGAAGTTCCACACATTTGATTTGAGGGAATAATAATTCAATAATCTTGCAACAATGATAATTTATAATAGAAACTCCAAACATAATGAAAAGAATGTTAACTGAACAATCAAAAGAGATCCACACCCAAAAGTGATTTCACTTTATTGCTCTGCAAATGCCCAACAAAATGCCACTCAATGTCCTCAGGAAGCTGCAAAATGTTCAACAATTTCAATATCAAGCATCTTCTTACTCCACACAATCTCAATTCCAAAACAAACTTCTAGAGAGAGAGAGAGAGAGAGAGAGAGAGAACCTGAGGTGCTTTTTCGATGATCTCTTAGACATAGTTCTCGCCGAAACAGCGATGACCAGAGTCGTAGACTTGGCGGATGAGAGAGATGGGCTTGGTTTTGCTCACTGCAACCACCCTCACATCATCGGCTATGCGCCCTGATCTCTCAGCAGCCTGGCGGACTCGGTGGAGCACCGCTCGCAGAGCCGTCGAGGCCGCACCCTCCACGGCGGTAGCAGCCATCATCACCATTATTTTGATTTCTCTATCTTTTCTGGTGGTTCGGAGTCACTCTCCGACAAATGTGGAATCTCCTTCACCCGATAGAGAGAGAGTTCGAGAGCAGCGCCAAAGCATCGAACATTGAAAAAGAAATCGAAACAGAGGGAGAGTGGAGAGATAGAAATCGAGGAAATCTTACCTTGCAAGCCGAGCGATGAGGGAGGGTTGTAAGGGGAGGAGTGAGCAGCGTTAGTATGAAGAGGGAAGAAGAAGATCAGAGAGGGCGAGAGAGGTAAAGAGGAAATGGGGAGAAGACGTGGCTGAGAACAGAGTGGGAGAGAGAGAGAGAGACGTGGGTAGGTGGAAGGCTGATGGAGAGATGTTTAAGCGGGAATCACATTGTCTTTTATCATAATCTGTACCATTAATATATTCTTAGAACTGATCTTGGCCATTGGATCAAAATGTATCTCACATACATTTTGATACATTTTTCAAAAACCTTTGTGTCTTATTATATAGATAGTTTGAAACTTGTAATAGTGTAATTGTTGATTTTTTAATTATGATATATTTGACATAAATTTTTAAATATGGTTTTAAATAAGAGAAATTAAAAATACTATTGCCCTATTTCAATGGCAAAGTTGTCAATTTGATAAAATATAAATTAGTTAGAGAAAAATAAATGTGAAAAAAATATTTTTGTATTTTTAAAAATTATTTCTACCTACCAAATATAAAATTATATAAAAATAATAAATCTTTTATATTTTTTTAATATTTTTTTACTAAATTAATTTTTAGTATGTGTTTGGATGATAATCATGTAATGAGTTGTTATTTTTGTTCTTTTTATTTTTATTTTTTTATTTATATAGTTATTTATTGTTAATAGATATTTTTGTATGGTTATCATGTAATGGATTGTTATTATGATTTTGATGTGTAATCGATATATTTAATATATGAAATATTTTTAGTTTTGGAATTTTTGATTTAATAAATTGATTTAATAATGACATCAAAGTTGTTGCAATGTTTGACTTTTGAAAAAATAGAAACTATTTAATGAAAATAAATATAAAAAAAATTATTGTAAAAAATAATTTTTACCCTCTCAAAAGATAAAATTATATAAGAATGATGTGTTTTTAATTTTTTTTTACCAATTTAACTTTAGTTTCATAAAAAAAAAAATTGAAAATAAACTTTGAAAACCAAATCAAATAGGAGTTTATAATCAAAAAAGTTCCAGCATTATTTATTTAAAAAAAGGCCATTACATTTCAAATAACATATAGATTAACTAACATAAAATAAGTTGTATGGGGAATTGTCCTTGAAATGAACCGGTTTTAAAAAAAAATATCTTTGATTGTCTTTATTTGAAATAAAATTTAAAATTTAGAATCAAATATATTACAATTAAAAACTCTAGAATTAAAGTGACAAATTTTGAATTACAGATACACGCTTATAATTCGTCCTTTGACTAATCTAAACCATACAATCATGTATACTTGTGTAAATTGTCACAAGTATTAGATGGCGTGAATTGAGGGGAAAAAAAAATCGAAACCCAAATTTGTGTAGAGGTGTGGACGGAGAAGTAGCGTGAATTAAAATAATTAATTTTTTATTAGGGTTGTTCAAAAAAAAAAATGGTGAAACTAAGTAAATTGATTCAATCCGGTCTAGGGATTTGATTTTTATTAGTTTCAATTATGATTTTAATTTTGAAAATGGTGAAACAATTTAATTCGTTCTGATTATTTGTTCCAAGACTTTGTTTATCATTCCGAACCAAATCGGACAGTCACATATTTATTTATATTTTTATATGTAAAAATAAAAATATAAAATTTCTTATAAGATTCAAACACTAATTTTTATTATGAAATTGATTAATTATAACCAACTTAGCTAAACTAATTATTGTAAGTATGCTAACTAACATAAAATATATATCCCAATTATTGTTATATGAAAAATTTTAAAACAGTAAAATTGAATTGAATTAAACCGATTTTTATGGTTCGGTATGATCCAATTATACAAATTTAACAGTTTGATTATTATTCCAATTAAGGATCCATAAGAACCAGTTTACTTACTGATTTACTCTAAAATCAGACCAATGTGGGCCACGAACATTCCTTTTTTTTTTTTTTGGAACAGAAAAAGTAAATATAGATTATGGTAAGACAACCCAATTAACAGGAAAGACGTGTGTAAACTCCTACTTCTTAGATCCTTTTACCATTTTCTTAGATAAGTTATAACAAACGATGTCGTTTGTAGCTTGGATTACCTTATATACATCCCTCTCTCCTCCTCCAGCCCAATTATGGTCCCTCTCCCTCGCATTCTTTCCATCCAGTGGTCCGGCTCCACCCACCGTCGATAGCTTCCGCTTGTCTACACCACCATTACCAAAAGGTCAGCCTCTCTCTCTCTCTCTCTCTCTCTCTCTCTCTCTCTCGCTTAGATACACTGTTTCACACACTTTTTTTTTTGTAATTTTTTCTTGTTGATTTTGTATTGAGGGAATTTTTGTGTTTTTGTTTTTCGGAGCTTCAATTTTGTGAATTTGGTCTAGCTTTAATACACAAGTGGAAACCCTGTAGATAAAGAAAAATAGTGGTTAATAAATCAAAATTTTTTTGATATTGTTAACATGATCTCTGTGGTTTGGGTGCAATTGAACATTTGATTGAGTCTTTTTGATTATGTATTTTGTTGATTTCTTTCTGGGTTTTCATCCTGTGTGTATAATTCTCTAATTGAAGTAATGGGCTAATTCTGTTTGTACAATATTAGAATTTTATGGTTTTTGATATATAATTTTTAGGGAAATTTTAGGGTCTGTTTGGTTTAGTTTTAGAATTATGATTTGAGTATGGAATTGTGTTTTGAGTTTTGAGTTTTTGAATCATGATTTAAAAAGAGAAAATTTGTCTGATAATGAATTTTAAAAATAGTTTTGGGATGATTTGTACTTTTTATTTATTTATTGATTGATGTATAGAATGTGAGAGGAGAGAGGAGATATGAGAGAGAAAAAGTAATTGATTGATTGATTAATAATAATAAATAAATAAATAAATAAGAAGAAGGGAGTTTTGAAAGTAATTTTGAATTGTAGTTTTGAAAATTGTTTGGTTATAAATTTTGATTCAAATCATGATTTGAAATAGAATTGAGTTTTGAAAATTAAACCAAATGCTAACTTAGTGTTGAGAGATCAAGTATATTTGTTTATTTATTTCATTTTGTATGTGAATTATTTGGTAGTTGATTTGGTGTTTTTTTTTTTTTTTTTTTTTTTTTCATTTTGTGTTTGAATTATTATGAACAAGTACATTGTAACTTTCATAGTGTTTTTAGCTGAAATGGGTTTATGCAATTATATTTTGGGAGGAATGTTAGAGACTCACAATGAATGGCATGGGGGAGTTAGGCTGCAATTATATTTTGGGAGGAATGTTAGAGACTCACAATGAATGGCATGGGGGAGTTAGGCTCTACATGACTGAGTTGATGACAAATAAAAAATTGACATGTAGCCTACCATGGATAAAATTAGGGGGGTCTTTTTAAGAGGTCTCAATCCTTTTCCACCTTTTAGGGTAAATTAAATTGACTTCCCTTGAGATTTGAAAAAAATAGAGTAAGCCCCATAAGTTTGGCATGATTGCATTGGACTCTCTTACGGTTTTAATTCACATAACATTTAGCCCTATTTCATCAATAATTTGTTAGTTATATGGATGGAAAAATGATGCTGTCATTTGTTTTGTACTAAAATGTATATTTTATTTTGTTTATCTTTTTGACTTCACACCATCTGCATTAGTTCCCATCCCTTTAGCCTTACCAAAAGGGAGGTCAGTGTAATAATGCCGAAATTGTGAGACTTGTTGCACTTTTTCCAAACCTCAGGCAAGGTCAATGTAATTCTCTGTATTTTATATTGCTTACTATGCTGATAGATATTATAAAACTACCAACATTTACATGCACATTTTGTTTCAATTTCATAGAATGCTCCACTTTCATTATCTTCCTTTCAGTTTGTTGTTGAATTCTGTGGCGAATTAATATCAAGTCTGAAATAGTAAATGATGCCGAATGGACAACAAAAGGATAAGTGGTAAGGAAATGCAAGTAGAATTCCATGTATTTGGCCATGATCTTTAGACTTGTAGTACGTTAATATGCATTAAGAGAAAATAAAGGTCCATAGGTCCATATGGGTCAGATCGAGTTGGGTTTCCCTCTAGCCCGTTAGCCGAACCAAACACATCGGGTTAGAAATTTGTTAATCCATTGTTGACTATCTAGCTAATCAAACTTGATTGTATCAAGTGGTTCGATTTGACGGTCGGTTCGGTCATGACCGGAAAAAATAAAAATAAATAAAATAAAACCTGTGTAACAATTGAAAAAAAAAAAAAAAAAGGAAGAAGGCAAATCTCAATTATGAGATATATGCAACCAACAAACAGATACTTACACAACTCATTTGAGAAATAGCATAGAAAAGATAAAAGTGAAAGAGAGAGGAGTTCGATGAGGGGAGAGATTTTCAATCCTCCGATATAGTCACTTTTCACCACCATCAAAGACAAGAAGGGTGGGTTTCCATTGGATGCAGATTGTCGGTACCCCATTGCCACCATCAAAGAACAAGAGAGAAATAGAAGAGAGAACACCAAATGCGAGAGAAATAGAAGCGTGAAAGAACTGATGAGATATTACCACAGAGAGAGAGAGAGAGAGAGAGCATTGAATAAAGAGAGAGCCTTGAAAATGAAATAGAAGAGAGAGAGAGCTGATGATATATTGTTATTGTTAGAGAGAGAAAGAGAGTGCATGTTGGGTGGATAAACATTGAATGAAAAGAAAGTCTTGAAAATTATAACACGCCATCATGTGATCTGCCAAAAAAAGAATTCCTAGGAAATAACCTATAACCTTTAGTCTTTCAATAATAAAAAGATAAGGTGTAATCTTTAAGATTGGATACTTGAAGCTTGCACCTTATCTGACACAAATGCGGTCGGTTCGGGTTTAACCAAATTATTTTGTAAGAGAATTGACAATCGACCGGATATTCAAAAAAAATCTTACCTTTCTGCCTCTGGTCGACTGCTGACTGTTTGTGGTCGGTTCTAATCGGGTCGGTCGGATTTGTTGGGAAAGGCAGTTTGATGGACAACTGTACTTTAAAGATTATTCAGTGTTGTACAAGGGCAAGCTCAATGAAAGAGCAAAAACTTCGCAATTCATTGCACTATACACAGTTCAGAATCTTGATCAGTTGTAGATGAGTGATCAATCATTTGCTCTGTGAAGATGAATCCAATGATCTCACCATGTAGCCATGAACCGGATCCACTTCAGCTTCTTGGGCTCCGTTGATCTATTGTGTGATAATCTCACTTTTAAGCTGTAGTTCTCATACAATAGAAGATAAATAAAAACTGAAGTTGTGAGAGGATAGGTAAGAATCCACAACCTACAAAACCAGCACAGACTAAGACTGAGACTAGAACAGCAATCCATGTATGGTAGTGGTGTTGCTGAAGAAACATATAGAACCTAAGCCATTTTACCCTCAACTCAAATGTGTCTTTCAGATTCATCCATTATGAAATATAAAGAAAATAAAAAGAAGGAAAGATGAAAAAGAAATATTTGTATGATTGAAAGAAATTCAAGCAAGAGCAATGAAGACTTGAAATAAAAATGAAAGGAAAATGTGGTGTTATTGGACAACAAGAGCCAAGAAGCAAAGCTAACTTAAAGTACTAGCATTCTAGGAAGCTCATTGATTACTCTTTCATTAAAGCCTTATTTTCAGGATTGTTGTCGATGCTTTTTGGACTTTATATCTGTCTCGCTTGCATCACTTATTTTTTTATTAAGAAACTAAGAGCATACTTGGTACGGTTTTTAAAATATATTTTCTGTTCTTAAAAATAGTACAGAAGAGACAGAAATTGAAACAAAAAAAACTTGATTGGAAAACCATTTCCAAAATCATTTCTTCCAACATCGATTTTAAAACTATTATGTAGCATACCATCAATAAAATTTCCATAACCATTGTAACATAGCAAACTATTCCTAAAACATGTGGATCAATTTGTTACCATGGCTAGTGATAACAAAAGATTCATAATTTAGTAATTGATTCTTGGGACACATTATTGTACCTTGTGTTTTCTGTTGCACCATAAATGCAATTGTTAGGATACATAATTATTTGGTATCATTTTATAGATTGGGTTCCTTTACCCCATGTGTTGAGTTCATGGGATAAACAACTATTTGAATTAAGCTCTGTTGGTGTGCCTCATTATGTTTTTTCTGCCAAAATGGTGGAAATGGATTTTTGCCTCATTTGTTCAAGAGAATTAGTCCACTAATAGGAAGGATATTACACAATCTAAAAATTTACCAACAATATTACACAATTTAGAAATTTACTGATGGGATTTTGATTTCTTCCAAGTTGGAAAGTTAATATCCTATCAAAAATGCTTTTCATGAAAACAAGTAGACCTAAGATAACTAGATCACTCCGAATCAAAGCTTTTGATCTTAGATGAACAACTTTGTAACACAAGGACTAGAGGGGAGAAGACAAACTTTTTTTTTCCCCCCAGATCTTCAATCATGATTAATGAACTATATTTCAAGATCAAATGGTCTTAACAAAAAGAAAATGACTTTCTTTTTGTGTTTTCTTTTTCTTTTTTCCTTTTTTGTTGGGGATGGGGAAAGATAAAGAAAAGAAGCTTCAAAATCTAAGAAGAATAGATACACACTTGGACACATGACATGATACAGACATGCCAACAATTTTCAAAGATGTTGGACAAGAATCAAGATACATGGGAAACACATGCAAAATATTTGGCTATATATATTTATTATTATTTATATGTCATATATATGACTATTTCATTCAAAGTTAAAGAAATATAATATAATATGAATTTTTAAAATTTGAAGGAGGATATATTCATGTGTTTATTATATATATAAATCTACTTTGTTTATCTTTTATCATTAAATCCTAAGTTATTTTTTTCGAACTTGTAATGTGTTTTCATGTGTGTCCTAAGCATTGGACTTGTATTGCCTCCAAATGTTTGAAGCTTGTCTGAGTCTAAAAAATATTTAAAAAAAATAATAATTGGACATATTTGGATGTGTGTGACACTTAAGAAATGTATGAGAAGTGTCTAACGAGTGCTAGTGTTTGAAATGTGTTGAACACCTACACACGTCAAACAAAGACACTACTTTCCCAAAAGTGTTCGTGCTTTGGACTCGCGGGATTTTTTTTTTTTTTGGAGAGTGTATATTTAGATTAGGGTTGTTCATGAAATTGCCTTACCCGTCGAATCCACCTCGCCCCACTTTGATTTGAACCGACCACAAATAGTCGGCTTTGTCAAAACAAGCGGTCAGCCATGGGTTGAAAGGTGAGATTTTTTTGAATATATGGTTGGTTGTCAATTCTCTTAAAAATAAATTAGTTAACCCTAACTGACTGCATATGTGCCATTTTTTAATTGGATACTTAATGATTACACCTTATCCTTTTATTATTAGAAGAATAAAGGTTGTAATTTATTTCCTAGGAATTCCTTTTCTGGCAGATCACTGGCTGGCATATTCTAATTTCAACACTCTCTCTTCATTCAATGTTTATCCACCCATCACACACTCTCTCTCTCTCCCTAACAGTAATGATATATCATCAGGGCTCTCTCTTTTATTTTTCTCTTTATTCAATGTTTGTCCTCCCAACTCTCTCTCTCTCTCTCTCTCTCTCTCTCTCTCTCTCTCTTCTATTTTTCTCGAATTCGGTGTTCTCTCTCTTCTATTTCTCTCTCGTTCTTCGATGGTGGTGATGGGGTACCAGCGATTTGCATCCCATTGAAACCTTTTTTTGTCTTTGATGGTGGTGAAGAGCTATGGTACTGGAGGATTGAAAATCTCCCCTCATTGAACTCCTCTCTCTGCCATTTTTCTCTTTTCTATGCTATTTGTCATATGAGCTGTGTAAATCTCTGTTTATTGGTTGTATATATCTCAAATTTGAAATTTGTCTTCTTTCTTTTCTTTTCTTTTTTTTTCCAACTGACCGTCAAACCGAACCACTTGATATGATCAATTTCGATTAGCTAGTTGGTGGACAATGGATTAACAAATTTCTAGCTTGATGTGTTCGGTTAGGCTGACGGTCTAGGGGTAAACCCAACTCTATCTGACCCGTGCACACACCTAATTTAGATTGCAAGGATTAAGTGGAGTTCATTTGATCCTAGATTACCAGTCATTTTTGGGTTGAACTCCTAGCAAAGGATTGCTTCTATAGTTGTATTTGTCTCCCAGTTTTAGTATACTAAAGGTATGGGCACAATACGTGTGTCGCAGTTACTTAAGTTTCAAGCAGTTAGAATCTAAGAAATTATTTATACCCTATTTTTCTGCCACTATCCCACTTACAACAGTACATAATAGATATTTGATCAGGGGTATTTTAGGTATACAAAAAACAGTGACAAAGCTTCAAATAGCTATGTGCTTTGTGTAATAGTATATATTGATCAGGACTTATTTTTCTTGTACCCAAAAAAACAACTTCAATGGATATTTGAACATGATAGCTTTGTGGGATTGATTAATGGTATGACTAAATTCCTGGGTAAGATAAGGTTGGTTGACATTTAACAAAGGGGTGAATATTGCTCGAGGAATTTGAACTAATTTTTGAATCAATGCATTATATTATGAGGTAAAATTGGAACTTCCGTATAACCCCAAGGGATTGGCCTGGTGGTAAGGTCTTGGGTCTTGGGGTGTGTTCCTTCCAAGGTTCAGGGATCGAAACCTCTTAGGTGTTAACAATTACTTGAGGCCATCGAATTAGGGGAAAACCCTTGAATTAACTATGTTACACTTGCGAAAAACTCCTTGCCGAGGGCCTGTGCACCCCTAGGGATTAGTCAGGCTATGATTCAGACATCTTGGTGTCAATCTAAAAAAAAAAAAAATTTGGAATTTCCATATTTTTATGTGGCAATAGGATTATGCTTGAGGAATAATTCAGTAACTTTTAGTTATAAAAATCATAAGATAACCGAGAAAATCTTTCATTTTGATACCTATTGTAGGCTAGCATTCAAGGTTTGTTTAGTGCCAATGTCAGTTTTTTTTTGAACATTTGATTACGATGTTTTATCTTTAGGTGATAAACATGAAGGTTGTATGTTTGCCATATGAACTTAGATTGGTATTTTTTTGAATATTAATCTATGTTTCAAAGGTGGTTAAGGTCCAATTGATTACTTCTGAATGACAAGCGAGTAGAGGTAATAATCACCAGGGCAAGACTAAGGTTTGTGGGCATTAACTATATGGGCTCCATCTAGTTGAGGCATGCAGGAACACCATAAAGCCACTAGTTGTAATAGTCTCATGTTACGATTAGTGTTACAAAAAACACTTATACCCTAGAGGTTATGTTTTGCAGCACGTTACCTGCCATGTAACGTGTTACACTTGGGTTCCAAAATAGTGAATTTAGTGATCCAAAGGCGATCTTAAATTTTTAAATATATATATATTTCCTTGGGAGGGAAGAAAATCAAATATAATGAACTAAAATCGAAGAATAATGGAAATTTGGAAAATCAAATGTAACAAATTGGTTATAATGCTCATACAAAAATGTTGTTATGATTAATTTGAAAACAGTAACCTACATTCTACTGAATATCTAATTGTTAAAAGAAAATTACTCTAGAAATACCTTAAATTCTCTTAGTATAATCTATTCAAGTCTACCCCTATCATATCACATTTTAAAGCATGCAGCATACCATATTCATGTTGTTGTAACATATACTAGAATGATTCACATTCCAAGCAACATAGGTTATGATTTTTCTCATACGGATGATAATTGTATAAATTGATATGAAATTCATTAAATGTGGCCCTTGGTATCTCAAGCACCCTACATCTCCAGTAGCTGCATTATCTTTACAAGTTATTCGACATTGTGGGGCTGCATGTTTTTGCAGGGGATTTAAAGGTTGGGGATATGGTTTGGTGGAAAGGTAAATGCTTGGGATAGAACACTGATTGAGCATGAGTGCAGCCACTTTATTCAAACCATGCAAAAGTTACGTCTCTATCCGATGATTGATAGTAATCAGCATTTGACAATGTCCATTAGGAGTTAAAAAATTGAACTCGTTAAGGTGAAATCCATTTGAGTTGACCTCTCACTTGTAAAACAAAATGGTTTTATATGAAATTTGGTGATTGATTTTACGTGAGGTAGATGCACAATGAAAAAGAGATATTGTTTTGCTCACAAAGTTGAGTAGAAATTTTTATTTATCAAAACAAAAAAAAAAAAAATTTGAATAGAAATTTTTAGTCATCTTTATCTGGTTGTGTACTAGTCTTAGATTTCAGTAGGTTTTGTGCATAGACTTTGATTATGCGTGCGGAGTATGCTGAAAGGATATTCCATTGCAATCCAGAGTAGGAGGTCCAGACTAGGCAAATGTTTGTCATTTAGTATGCAGGTGATGCAGACTAGATGAAGAATTGTGTTAAAGAGAGAAAACCTTTGTTGAGTTGATGAGCTTCTTGTTTCTTCTTGAGCTATGGAGGGGAAATTACGCAATCTGTCCCTTTGTGGCTTTCTAGCTCCTTTCTTTGTGCTTGCATTTAGTTGGTTAAGAACCATATTGATGATGTCCCTAAAGACTAAAGCATATATGCTTCACATATGAGGATGATGTTCACACCCCAATGCCTCTTGCACTCCCTTTTTTTTCTTTTAGCCTCTCACAAGGGTAGTGTGAGAGGTCAAAGGTGAAGTAAGAATGTCATTGCTCTTAACTACCATGATTAAAGTAAATTTAGTTATATATCTGTAGTTCACACACTATTTTCTGCTTGTGAATTCATTCAATAGTATGACTTCAACTTCAACTTCAACTTCAACTTCTAATATATGAAGCACATTTTAGCTTAAACAAAAATTTATTATTTCCACTATCATTTAGGAGGCAGAGTGCCATCTATAAACTTTTCAAAATCGTGTAGGAGATGTTCAGGTATGATGGGTGGGTCGCCCTATTCTTCCTTTTGCATAATTAACTGCAGCATCAAATGCAAGTAAACTTTTGGTCACACATCGATAGTTAAGTTGGTATATAAAACTTCAGAGTGCTACGATTCTGAAGTGTAGGTAGCTTGTGCATTGCATAGACCTCTATATGGATGAAAGATTTCTGATTTTTTGCCAGGAGCCTATCATAGAAACAAGTTGATTCTGGTTTATGTTTAAACTATAAACCCCAACCAGGCATAGTTCAGCTTTACTCTCTGCCTCCATGTTCATAAATTCTTTTAATTTTTGGTTGATGACATGGTGGAGATTCTATTACCTTTTGACAATATGCATTTCTCATGCTTATATTTGTCTATTAGGATTCATAATAGCAATGATAAATTTGCAAAATGAGAAGTTTTCAGTAGTGAGCATGATGGTTTATGTTGGGTTTCACTGAATGGATAATATATTTTATGTCTTGTTGGATATGGATAATAATGTAAATTGGTTAACCTGTGCAGTTGGATGTACTGAGGCTTGTTTCTAACTTGTATAGGAGATATTTCAACTTGTTACTTCATCATGGATTCAGCAGAAGCAGAGTATGCTGCCTTTGAGGAGAAAGTGAGGCGAACTGTTTACATCGACAACCTCTCACCTCAGGTCACCGAAGCTGTATTGAAAACAGCACTCAATCAATTCGGGAACGTTGATAAAGTCCAGTTCATTCCAAATTACACACAGCTGAATAGCTTACCTCACGTTGCTTTGGTGGAGATGGAAAACTCAAAGCAGGCAAAACAGATTGTGTCGGAGATGGGTAATTTCCCATTCATGATGTCAGGGATGCCAAGGCCCGTGCGGGCCCGTGCTGCTGAGATGGAGATGTTTGATGACCGCCCAAGAAAGCCTGGTAGAAGTATAAACTTCCGTTGGTTGGACCCACAGCACCCTGATTTTAAGGTAGCAAAGGAACTGAAGGAGGTCACGAGGCAACATGAAGCAGAAGCTTTATTCGCTCTCGAGGTAAATTCTAGAGGACCTTCAATATCCACTGCAACTTATTTCCTACGTCCCAAATTTGTTGCTTCATTTTCTGCATTCATGCCCTTTAATTGGATAAAGTCCTCAAAATCATTAATAAATTAAAAAATATATAAACTTTTTTTTTTCTTTTCTTTTTTTTTTTTTTCGTTTTTTTGAGACGTTTGGAATAGTGAAAATGAACAAACAATTTGAGAAAGAGGGAGTATTTTCTGTGAACCCTTCTCCGGAGTTCAAGTAAATTGTAATTTAATTTAATTTATTTATTTATTTTTGTTTTGTTTATGTTTTTCTCTCAGCAACAATTGGCAGACGAAGAGAAGCTTGCAGAACAACAATCAGTGACCCTGAAGGCATGTCATAAGAAGTTTGAGCTGATAGAGGGTGTCCTAAATGATGGATCTGCTGATCGCTTGGCACGCCGTTATAACATGAAAGCACTGAATTCTTGATAGGTGTCATGATCAATTTTTTATCGTTTGGTTATTACTAGTTTTTATCATTAATGTAGTTTCTCATAGATAACTTATTCCCAGATAACATTATTCATAGATATTAATATATGTACATTTGGTATTACTAGATTCGTAGATATTGCATAAGAACAGATTGAAGTTTTTTGAAGGCAAAAGAACCATTTCACTTGTCAAGGTTTAGGGCTTACTAAATATAATGTTTCAGGCTAAATTGAATTGAATCTATGCATCATATGCAAGCTTCTCAAATTTTGCTTAGATTTTTCTATTCGAGTAGCCATAATTATCACTCGGCAAACAGGAAAACAAAATTCAGACAGCAGGCTAATTATGCAGTTTTTGCCATTTGTTTTGTTTTGTTTTTTGGGTGTTAATTAAGAACTCTCAAAGCAGGACTGGTGATCCAAAATGTTAAGCATTTCACCTACACTGTGTTTGGTTGGAGGATTTGATGAGAAAAATGGAAAGGAAAGGAAATATAGAAAGAAAATGAGAAAGAATTGATAGAATTTGAATTCTAAGCTATATTTGGTTGAGTCAAAAAAGGGAGAAAGAAAAAAGCTTAAATGAACCGAAATGACAAAATGTTGGATTGAATCTACTCCTCATTTCTTCTCTCTCGTGTTTTCCATTTACGTGAGATTGTATTTCTTTTTTTCTTTTTTTTTTATTTCTTTTATCAAATCCTCCAATCAACACAGACCTGATGATAATGGTTTTAGAAATTTGAGACAATTAGATGGTTTATTGATTGCAAAAGGTGAAGTGAAAATAATAATTAAAGTAAAAGGGAATGCAAAAATTTCAGATACTGAGAGTCTTTTCTGAGAGTATTAAAAGTTGTACACTTGTGGTAATACCAATCCATAAAGTTGTTGGTGCATTTTAGTTCATACACCCACAGAGCCTGTCAATTGTTAAGGTTCAAACAAAAACACCCTTTGAGACAGATATGCAAGTTGATATATTGGATGTTCCAAATATTGAAGTTCAGCCTAGCACACCCATTTCTTGTGAAGATACACCTCCACCGTTGTCATCCCCAGTGTCTCAGGCTCCTAAAGAGCAATTGCCATCATAGAATTTCCCGGAGGAGCAATTGCAAGTATTGAACTTTAATCAAATCATACATTTTTGTGCAGAAGGCTCTAAGTGAGTTCCAGCTCCTAGACATAAGCGAGCTCAAGCATCTAGACAATGCTTTTCAGATGCAAAATGAATTGTCTAATACTGTTGAATGCCTGCCCCATGCCCCGGTTCATGGAAAATGCAAGCGAGGGTTGTGGATTGAAGATAGCATCAACAACCCAAGCCTTTTTGGACCACCTTGGCGCCGAGCTTTTTGATCAAACCTCTCAAATTGATCTAACCTTTTCTACTCTAGTTTTGTGTTTGCTGTCCCTGCAGGGTTTGTTGATTTTGCGTGTGATTCTTGGGTAAGCTACGATTGCTAGTTGTGGTCTTGGCCTTTAGTCTTATTTTTCCTACTGTTATAGATTTTGAGGGGGTTTTTTTATGTCTGTAGTTGTGGATTGATGTAACTCTCTGCTCTTCCTCTTTTTCTTTTTAAATATCTATCATGTTTGACTTGTTCTAAAAAATTAAAAAAAAAAAAAAACCTCGAGATTTGTTTGGGACAAATAATAATAATAATAGGACAAACTTCACTTTACCCCTCCTTCGTGGTTTGGACCGGGTGAAGATTACCCTTCTGATATTTGGAAATCACCACATAATTCCCATGTGGTTATTGGATTGAAGTGTATAGTTAGCATTTCCATCTAATCTAGCAGCCCCTGTAGTACATGCGAGTAATGTGCAAATGGGCACGAGTAATGTACAATTGGGCAAGAACTAATGATTTTCCTTCCCAATTAAATAACCCAAATGCCCCTAGAGTTAGAAATAAAAGTTTACCCAAGAAGATTGCTTTTTTACTCTTTCTTTCTTCTCTATGCCCAGTTGCAGGCAACTCCACCCAACAAAGATGTTCTCTTCAAGCAATATGGGCAGTGGGGAAGAACAATGTTGAGGTTCATTAGCAAGAAATGTCATTATGGGAAGTAAGCAGCCATTAGAGTGGTAGAATCAGAGAAGCCTTCAAAAGGTAAGTCGTACTATATGTGTGAACATGCTGATTTTAGGAGTTGTGATTTCTGGGCTTGGTGCAACCCAATTGGATTTGCTCCCACCTATGAAAGATATAAGATTGATGAGAAACCAAGAGTTGAGGAAAGTGTGCACTTTAATGGAAGACTCACGAAATTGGAAATGAAGATGGAGGCATTTAACATGATGATGAAGGCATCTATGGTGGTTTTGGTTGTGTGTTTCATTAACACCATGTTAATGTTCAATATGACATAAATTTGTAAGGTGCATTATGTACTTGATGTATGTTTGAAATCAATGAAATTATGTTTATGAAATTAGTGGTTTTTGATTTTTTTTTTTTTTTACTGCATTCCAATGCAAAAAAATACAAGCAACATGAAATAACATTCAAAATTATCCCTAACACATGCAACCTTGTCGAGTTTAATTCCAAAACAAACAATTAATTCTATTTTTTTTTTTTTTACTGCATTCCAATGCAAAAAAATATAAGCAACATGAAAATGCAATCAAAATTATTCCAACATAGGTAACCCTGCTGAGTTTAATTCCAAAACAAACAATTAATTCCAAATCAATGCATTCCAACCAATGGAACAAAAATAATGAAGAACAATTTTGCAATAACAATGTTATTTAACAATGAACTAAAAAAAGTTACCTGATTGGTTGTCATAGGTGGTTGGGAACAATATGATTGGCCCCTGGTGGACACCCTAGTATATCTCTATTACAAATTAATTCAACTTCAAATTAGGCTTCAGTTGAAGTAAACCCTATATTGAAGTTACAAGTCAAATATAAAAGCTAAACCCTATGATTGCCCCTAGTATATATCTGTTGCAACAGACAAATTAAGTTAGAAGCATACACAAACATAACATGTGTACAATAAATGAATGCATAAGTATACACTGACCTTCACCATTTTGGCCTTAGGATGCAACCTGTTCTTGCATGACCTCTAATTGTGCCCCTTCTACAAACACTTAGCACATGTCACATTGATGTTCTTTCTTGATGCGTTGTGTGGATTTCTTGGCTCATCAACTTGCCTGTTCTTAACTTCTTTGGTTTTCTTGCTAATTTTTTTGTTTCTTATGGGTTCAAATTTTGGCCACCTTCCTCATACTCATGCATGCCTGGAACAACATGTCTGGAATAGGGTGTATCATGAATGCATAAGTATCTAGGTACCTAGACTTGGTGTAATACTCGTGTACATAATCTTCTAGCTACTCATGATTGATTTGAATGGCATTGATGGCATGGCTACAAGGCAAACCAAACAAATAACATCTTTTGCAACTACAAGTCCTAGTACTTAGGTTCACTATGTACCTCCTCATAAAATGATCAACCTCAAATTCTAGTTGGCTACACCAGATTACAAAGCAGTTCCTTGATTCCACCTTCAACTTCTCTAGTTCGTCATGAATATTGGGACAGATTTGACCAATGTATTGCTCTATTCCAGTTTTTTGAATTTGGATCATTTGTATCAATTTCCTTTTGATCCATTCAATCATGGAGGTGATTGGTAGCTCTCTAGTCTCAAGAATATAAGAATCGAATGACTCACTTAAATTGTTAACAAGGATGTCACACTTGCTCCTTAGGGAAAAATGTGATCTTGCCCACAAGGCAGGGCCAGTCCCCCTCAACCACTCCATAGTTGTTCTCCTGTTTTTAGTCTTAGGATCGGATTCTTCAATCTTCTTCATCTAGTAATTGAATTCATTGACATTTCTTGTTGATGCAGCTTTCCAAAACAAATCTTTCAACACACAACCACTATACTTTGCCTTGAAGTTATTCTACATATGTCTTAGGTAGTATTTGTGATCTGCAGTGGGGTATAACTCTGAAAATGTTTCAACTAACCCCTCTTGTCTATTTAATATAAATGTCCACCCTATCTCTTTAACGCTCCTAATGTCACTCATTAGTTCCTCAAGAAACCAAGTCTAAGAGGCTTTACATTCAATTTCGACCAAAGCCATAATAATAGGGTACATGTTGTCATTTCCATCTATCCCAATAGCACTGAGTAGCTGCCCTCCAAAAATCCCTTTTAAATGACAATCTAGTTCTATTATTGGTCTACACCTTGCTAAAAATCCATCTTTCTATGTGTGATATCCATGTCCCGTAATATGTTAATTGGTCCTTAATATGAGTATGATTATGTGTTTAATATGATTTTGTGTGTCATTATGTGAAAATATGTGGTTTTGAATTTCTATCTGTTCACCGTAGGAATATCTGTTTGATTATCTGCTTTGGAAATTAAATCGAAGGCCTTATCGGCCACAAAAATTGAAAATTGACTACGCCATTGTGATAGGCATAATTTTTAGAGCCTACGGTGAAATTTAATTGAAAATTGATTCAGATCAGAATTAATTGATTTAATTGATGAATTAGTGCCCAATTATTTATTATTATTAAATTGGACTTAGTGGGATTTGTTGTAATAAGGCACTACACCCTCAATTCCCTCTTTAGCTTCATTTTGGCTAATTCCAACCTTAAAAGAGAAGAGAGGGCCGGCTATAGAGAGAGAGAGGGAGAGAATTGTGTAATCTTGGCTCAAGGTTTGGGGAATTTGAAGATTTAACTCAAGAATTTGTTATAGTTTGGAAGATTGAGCTCCTAGGTAAGGGAATTCATGAGTTTAATGTTGTAAATTGTGAATTCAAGTTTGATTAATGATCAAGAACATGAGTTAGATTGATTATGATGAAATTGAGTTGGTTTTGTTGAATTTGAAGTCTTAGAACACATGCATGTAAGAAATTACTATGAATTTCCATATTTGAGCACAATGTGTATGATCCATGTTGAATTTTTGGTTTAAGTCCATATATTTGGTCACCTTTTCACCAATTAAGTTGAGGATATTGTGTATGTTTCACATGCAAGTGCAAATCATGGGAGTTTGGGTCTTGCATGTTTGAATCTAGTGTGTTGGTGATGAGTTTAAGTTAATTTGAGACATGCATGTGATTAAATTGTGAAATTGAGCTTCGTTGCGTTATAATTTGGTGTTTATACCATGTTAGAATATGTATATGTGAAGTTTGATCCAAAATCATGCATTTGA